CTCCATCAAAACAACCTATCCTGCAGCACCAACGATTGGAGAGCCTCCGTGGTCGTACGATCGGAATCGTTTGTCAAACTACGGCTCAAACCAGGTTGCACCTTCTTACAACCATGGGGATTCCCCTCCAATCCAAGGACTTGCTTTCCGAGCTGGTCAGGTTAGGTGTACGCGCCGCGCTCATTGCTGCATAAGCTCGAAGCTTGCGGTCTGCGAGGGAGCAGCTTGCGTCTTCGACCTGGCTCCCTTGCGAGGAGGTTCGCCCTTGAGCTCCATGACTTCCTCCTTGAGGGAGATCACTGAGTGGGCCAGCATCTGGAGCAGCTCCTTCGTCTCTGGGTCCGGAGTTTGAGGGTGCTCAATGCTTCGGTCATGGGCTTGGGGATCGTCTGCGTGGTTGGTGGCTCTGACGAAGCTGCCGCTCTTGCATGTGACGCCAAGCCCTTTGTCTTGAGATCTTGTTCCAGGCGGTTGGAGCCCTCCAGCCAATTGGCTAGGCGGATCAGCCTGGGACAACAGTCGTTGTCCCTGGGCCGCGGTCATCGCCCAGGCGCTGTAGGAGGGGTGATGCTAGCCGGAGTGTTTGCCGAAGCCCACTGCATTTTGGGGAGCCGGCTCGGCCATGTCGTGCACTGCCTGGATGCCCTTCGACATCATGGTCTTGATCGTCTCGGCGCCGGCGAGAGGAACGCGAAGCACCTCGGTCACGCGTTTGACCAAGTGTTCCTTCTTTCGGCTGGCTGCATTCAGGTCGGCCATCATCTGGCGAAGACGAGTGTGTGGTTTGCGACTGGACATCTCTGGTACTCCATGTTTGCGGCAGAGCTCCTCTGCAGCAGTCCAGCTCTTGGGAGGGGTCTCTCCCACTGGTGAGATCGGCCTTCTTCATGGTGGGCATTGGATTGCGCGCGAGAAGTCTGGCTGGAGGATGGAGCTGGCTGAACCCCTTGAGCTGATGCGGCTGCCGCGGTCTGTTGTTGTATTGTATTGCCGTGAGGGTGTATAGTGTGTTGTTTGTGAGACTCTTGGCAAGTTTCCGGATTGGACGACGAACCGTCGCAAAAACTCAACGAGAAACTACCTAATCCATCTTCCTTCTCCCATCTAAACACCTCGACTGTCCGCTCACTTCTGCACTGCTTGCGACATCCCTTTCTTCGGCAGAAGGCGAAGGAGGGAGGAGTTGTCCCTAGATGAGATCTTTCAGGCTGGGCGCAGCTGACTTCGCTTGAAAAGAGTTACTGTACCAGCCCTGAGTGAGCGGAGTGAGCTGATGTCCGGAACTGGATTGTTCAAGCGCTGTGATGCGTTCCTCAATTTACGAAAAACAACAAGATCATTCTCAAAATCAATCAAAGCGCCCAATGGCAAAGGAACGCAAGGTCTCTATTGAATAAGAATTAGAATGGGTCCGGTGCCCTGATCCAAAGTGTGAATTTTCAACTCCCCCGGCCGGCCTTCGGCCTGGATCTTTATGCGTGCAGTTGAGAGACATTGATTCTTGGAGGATTTGCCAAAGCACGCTGCTCAGTGTCCAGCTTGGAGAGGCCTTGAGTGCCATTGAAATTCTGATTCAAATTCATCAACGTTTCGACGGCCTTCACTGACCCCACTGTTCTCGTCGCTCCCCCGTCGATGACGGCTTTCCCCTGTTCCATGGCCTGCGCGGTGGAAATCTTGCAATCCTTTGCGCCGTCAGCTGCAAAGACCCGGTCAGTGACGCAGATGAACGGGGCTTCTTGATTGGCTTCCTGATCCACCTGGAAGCTCTTTGGCTTCTTTGGACAATCTTCGGCGCGGCGCCTCCACAGCTGAGACATTTTGTCGAAGCAGTGCTGGAACTCTCCTTTTTCACAAAAGGCGCTGGCCTTGGTTTGTTGACAGAGTACTGTCGGCTGAGTTTCACGAAGTGCTGTTGGGCCCTCGCTTCACGAAGTGTTCGACGACCTCGTTCCATCATAGCCATGGCTTCTTGAGCATCAACTTCAGCTTCACTCATGAGAGCCATGCCTTCGTGGTTGATTCCGGACTGAGCCAGGTAGGTGAATTCTGGGCTCTGGCTCATCGACTGTCCACGCTGAGCCCCTCCTCCTTGATCTTGGCGACGAAGATCATCATCATTCCATTGGTTGTGTAGCTCCTGAGCGACGCAAGTTCAAGGCGGCAAGGATCATGTTCTTCTCACTGCTCTCCAATGTGGAGTCCTGTGGAAGGAACCAACCTTGGACGAAGTCAGGTAGTAGCTGTAGATGAGCACTTGTACTCACTGGTGTCCAGGATGTAGAGCGGCGTGACCAAGCCTGTGACTGATTCCAGTCTTGCGAAGACCATGACCAGCCATGACCATATCCTTGATACCATTGTGCCCATGGGTCCTCAGGTTCTGTTGACGCTGAACTTTCTGGAAGACCTGAGGATGGGGGCACTGGTTGAGTAGAATTCCTGGTTCTCGATGGACTGCTCACGCAAGGATGGAGTCGGGGTTGATGACTGCATCCTTTGAGTCTTCGGGTCATAGTGCCCTTGAGCTCGTTGCAGGGTCTGTTCAGTCCTTGCATAGAGCTCTGCCTTCCTGGTGATGTAGTCGTTCATTGACTCATTCTTTGCTTGATGTATTTGGTCACGTAGTCACTGATCTCTGACAGTTGAGGGAGGCCCAAATGCTTTGTCAGGTGAGCCAGGAGTGTTTGCGCATCCCCATCGTGTGACACCCATCCTGGCCTCTGGGATAGCACGAAGCGTCGAGCTGTCGGAGAGTTCGTTGAGCAACTTTGGGTTGCAGAGGCACTTCTTGCGATAGGGAACTGTTTGTTCCCAACGCTCGGCCAGTTCGCTGTACTCCTCAAAGGTTCTGGCCTTTCGATCCCATTGTGGAACGCCTTCTCGATAGCGCGCTATCACCGCCATTGCTTCTAGGTGTCTATGCGCCTAGAGCTAGGGTCGAAAATCAAAATTCGGACGCCCAACAGGGCTCCGCTACCATGTAAGCGGTTCAACAGCTTACCTCAAGCTCAAACACCAAGTGGCCTTCTCGTGCTAGGGGCCTATGAGATGGCCACTGCAACCTAAATGTGCCCTGATGCACTTCTTTTGGACCACTCTTGACTCGGTCGGGCGTTCGAGTTCGAGTCAACTGATGGTGACATCACACTCTATATATATATATATATCACGAAAGCCAGCCGATGGAGTCATAGGGGAGCGAACGAAGCGAGTAAGGGGGGGTGCCAGAGGGCAAGTTTCGGCTAACCCAGAGCCTGGCGGGGGAGAGCGAAAAAAAAGAGGTGGCCAGAAGTAGTGAAAATGAGTGGTTTTTGGGGTGTTGCGACGCAAGTGATGTAATTGACGGCAAGTAGTGCATCATTAGCATCATGAGGGGCTCAGGAGGCAAACCGTCTTCTACCAGGGGTGAGAATTCATGTCGATGAGAGGAAAGGGACTTGTCCAGAAAGGGAGATGCGCGTCTCTGGTGGCTATTGAACTAGTGCTCGACCAGGTGTGAGAGGGAGGCGTGCGTCTCTTAAGACACTGTGAGGGCCGGAAGGGGAACAGAATGCTAGAAGACAGACATAGCGGAGGAGGATGGGTAGGAAAAGAGGGCTTGCAATTTGCAAGAAATCTTGGAGTTGCTTGGGGCTGCGACGCCTGGCAACCATGCGCAACAGGGTACAGCAGAGAACAGATTGCAGTAGCGGGCAAGCTTTGCATTGCTTTGGCCCTTTTTTGTGGTGGAGAGGCGTAGTTGCCGGACTCAAGAGGGCACCCCATGTAGGGTGGGAGTTCATGTGGATGAGACAAGCACGGCGGAGGACGAATATTTTCTACCAAGGGTGGGAGTTACGTCGATGCAATAAGGCGCCCCATATAGGGCGCGAGCGCATGTAATGATGCCGTCTGTTGAGGGCAGGAGAGAGAAGAGATTGCAGCGGACAAGCGTTGAATTGCTAGGGAGCGCGCGCTTTTTAATGGTGAAGAGGCTTCGTTGCCGGACTCAAAGTGGCACCCCCTATGGGGTGGGAAGTCATGTGGATGAGGCAGGCGCAGCGGAGGCGGAAGGTTTTGAGTTGGTTGGAGGTGCCCTTTTTTACCGGTGGAGAGGCTAGTTGCCGGACTCAAAAGGGCACCCCAAATGGGGTAGGAGTTCATACGGATGAGACAGGCGCAGCGGAGGATGACCTGGACATGACCGGGTCCGATGGTGACGTTGACTTCGATCGGCGGGGGCTGCATCCCATATTTTTCCCACTATGTGTTTGATTTCCAAGACTTTATTGGCTTTCATTGAACCCACAGGAACTATGTTTCACCTTTCAACTGAGTTGAAGCCACCAACTACCCCATTTTTTATCTCAGCCATGCCGAGTTCCACCCACCATGGACCAACACACCATACCAAACCTTCGCCGGACTACATGGGTGCCCTTTTTCACTTCCACAACGCCCCTACATCAAGACGAAAAAGGGCACCCTCTCCCAAACCTATGTATTCTAATTCTACTTTCTATTTCCACCCGTTCTCAAGTGGCTGCAATAATATCAACTTCACCACTTCCAGCGACTCTTTGTCCACTCTACATATATGTATCCTCACGAAAGCCTGCCGATTGGCCCGCCCATGGGCCCCCTGATTGGCAACACGCAGCAGGCAAGCGCCCCTCACTTCCTTATGGGTGCCCTTTTTAACCTCCAAAATGCCCCTGAACCAGGACGAAAAAGGGCACCCCCTCAAACCTGTGTATTCTACTTCCTGTTTCTACCCCTATCGGGGTGGCTGTGATGTCAACTGCACCCCATAAAGGTATTCTTTGCCCGATGTTAGCCAATCACTTCATCTTGCACGCCATGTCTTTGAGTCCATCTACAGGACATGAATAAAAACAGCGAGCAAGCGCCAGGCTTGCCCCAAGGGCACCCCTAACCCAGAGGGTGGCTTTCGTCCCCTCCCTTCTCAGGCCTATATTATGATTATATATGATTGGATGAACCTTTGTGATTTGGAGGTAGTGATTCGCCAAGCTGCTTTGAAGATTCTTCACGGAGCGCTGGAGTCTGAGTGGGATGTTTTTGGATCGAAGGAGCCTAGCAAAAAGAATGAGTGTTTCAGGCAAAAATGTGTCAATGAAGATCTGCAACAGTTGAAGGACTGCCTTGTCGCGTTAGCCCTTGTTCTTGAACGTGCTTGTTTGCAGGATGAAGCAGAAGATGATGACGCTCGCAGCTAGCTTGGAAGACTTGAACGAGTGAACAAGGTATGAGCTTTCACCCCCGCTGAGTTGGAGACAGCTCCCCAAAAAACAAGTTTCGCAGATGCGCGAGGTGACCATTAGACGGCCCCAAGTCTAGTTCTCAGGCATCCAACGAACAAAGCCAGCGTGAGCGTGCTTGAGCCAACTGTGGCAAGATATCGCCCCAGCGACAGGACTTTATCTGAAGCAGGATTCTGTCGAAGATGTCAACGTGTATTGTATGTTTAACATGTAAAAAAAACATGATGTGTGCAGTTTGTATTCTTTTGTTTCGTGAAGATTCTTGGTTGCTTGCCTGCAAGGACGCGGCCTGATGCTCTCCAGCTTGACGCACTCAAAACAGCTCACGGAGAGCTCGGTAGGTCAAGATCTGGACGCCTTCGTGTAGCACATCGCGCAGACTCAGACTGCATTTGGAGACTTCCTTGTGATTGCATCAATTCATATCAATTCGGTTAATTCGACGAATGACTTTGCGAGCATGGTAGATTCCAGTGCTCAACAGCCCAATTCGAGCTTGCAAGAAAAACTTTGTTAACATGCCCAGACAATCAATCGGACTGTAAATTCTAGGTACAAGTTTCTTGTGCCATTAATTTCTGATATGTAATGTACCGTGAGACACCCAGGATGTCAGTAGGCACAAAGAACAATCTTGAACATTTGCACGCGAAGCCTTAAGTTTGACATCCCACTACTTAGGATAGGTATTTGAATGATTTGGCGCTGTTTGTCTTCTTTTACGTTGACAGACATTTGGCTCTAGTTCAAGAACGAAGGGGCAGGCATGAGGCGAGGTGTCTAGAGGACAGCTGTAAACTGCTCTTGTACAAGTCGAGTGCATAGGGTGAACAGTCTTCAGCATATTGATGAGGCTAAGAATGCATTTTGGCCAGGTGTTTATGTTTATGCGGATAGTTCTTTTTTACGCGGATAGACGGGCAGGTGTGGTTTTGGGGCAAGGTGTTCCTTTTTATGCAACGAGTGCCTTCTTTTGTGCTGGTGGTAGTCGCTCATCACCCTGAAAGGGTATAGCGGCGCAAGCTCCTGAAAGCAAACGTAAAAGAAGCGAAAACCTAGAAAACATGCGCGTAAAACGCCGACCGAAAAAGACCGCGCAATCAACCGAGGGCAGTTGAGCCCGATAACAAGACAAAACGAGCGAAGCAAGCGCGGACGAGGGGGGACGAAACAACAGCAACATCCTCGAACACACACCGAGAACCCCCAAGTCGTGGGTTTACGGTAACTTAGTAGGAGGAGCACCCGCAGCCAAACAGAGTCCACACCCAGAAGGTCAGCAGAGCGGTGAGATTAGAAGTTGGGGGGGAGACAAAGCGAGAAAGAAAACACACCAAGAGAGGGAAGGATACAGAGAAGCAAGAATCACCGCAAAGAAAGGGAGAAAAAGAGACGGAGGAAAACGACCACGAAGGTCAAGGAGATGAACAACGAGCGCACCCAAGAGAGAGAGAGCCGAAGCATGGCATAAGACACAGGAACAAAAGGGCATAGGCACCTACAACAGGACGGCCCCGTTGTGTGATTTCCACAGGGGACGGCCCCCCCTTTATGCTCGCGGTTCTTCTTCTAGGCTCTCAGCGTCGTTTTTAGGCAGATTGTGTTTGTTTATCGAAAGGTGCTCTTTTTATGCAGGTGGTTCTTCGTTTGATGGATTTCTACCACCCCCAGTGGTGGCGGTAGGGGGAATCCCTTTCCTTCCTGTTCTTTCTCTTCTTCCTCAAAAGAGTTTTCCTTTGATTTGGGGTTTCTCCAGCAATTGGGGTTTCCATCTCTTGCTGAGACAGCTCAAATCATTATCCATTATTGCATGCCCTTCAGCGGTCACGAGTCTTGCTGTGACAGCTAGGAATAATTCTATCGGTTGCGGTGACCACGTGGGAAAAATGGATTACATGGAATAAGTGTTGGGGTCTTCAACTTGTATAGTCGGCACTTAATCCTTTATCCTTGATGAAGGTTTTAGTATGTGGTTTAGGGTATTGGAGGCCAATCTGTTCCTCTGTTCAGAGAGACCAAGCAACCGTCCACACAACCGTCCACACCTTTGGCTGCGGCGGTTCTTGGCAGTGCTTGGAGTGGCACGGTTTTCATGTGCCATGCCGGAGACATTTTCTATATTTCAGGTTGTTGCCTTTTGCAATCACAGTTTCATGGAACATGCGTACGCCCGCTCCTTGATGGGTGTTCAAGAGAAGAGTTTCACAGCTTCCATGTTGGGATTTGCCACACATTTTACGCAAAAAACCTGCCAGGGAAACGATTTCTTTTGTGCAGATTTTTGAACACACTTTGGTCGCGCAATCGTGGTGCAGAGCCACGGACTGCCGGAGCCGGAGCCTTGTATGTTGATCATGCACTGGTTGCCTGTTTATGCCGCGTTTTGATGAACTGTTGGGCCACCCTCAAACAAACTCAGGATTTCATTCAGCTGCCGCATTGCCAGTTGGAAGCGAGCTCAGCCGGACACTGTTTTCGACTTGATTGTGGGTGAGTATGATTGAAATAGGGAGTCGCGAGAGGGTTGAACCTTTGAGGTTGAGGGTTGTATGCTACCAAAACGAATCGTTTATCGCGGGCTAAACAATTTTGCAGGACAGGACCAGTGACAACGCTGGGTGCTTGGTGGGTCAAGCCCTCATTTGTAGTTGCGTGTGGGATGTTTCCAGCAGACGCATCATTCAGTTTTGCTTTGCGCGCAGGCACTTGCTGTGGCATGATTTATGGTATCCGATTCGTAGCAGTTGGTTTGCGTGGGGTTCTAGCCTTGAAAATGCCGCTGCCACTAGTGACAGCGCTGTCCAAACCTCAGCTTTTAGTTTACTGAGCGATATTCCTTGCAGATTTACATTGATTCTATTTGCGGCCTCATGACTTTTGGTGTGGTGCAAGGTCAGATGAAGAATGCTTGGATGACCAGGCCGATCAATTTGGAAGTTGCATCCTTTGAGGCAATGACTGTAGTGTTCAGAGTTCAGTTGATAGTTGATTGTCAGCGCGTGACATTGTGAGAAAGGGGTCAGCAGCCAATCATCGAACTTCCATTCAGGCGAGACCTCAACTTGTTCAGCATCCTCGCCGCAAGGGGCCGAAGTCCGTCATGGAGGCTGGGCTGGACACCCCTTGCTGCAACCATCCAAGAGCAGTGTTTTGCAGGCTTTGAAAACAAAAAAGAAGATTGTGGGTGACAAGCAGGCTCTCAAACTTCTCTTGCAACGTTGGTGTTTGCTCTCACCTTTTTGTTTCAGGCTCTGGTGTCTGCGAATGGCCAGGCATGTTGCTGGACCAATTTTGTGGGTTACAGTTTTGATAGTGGAGTTTTTGAGGTGCGCCGCGGCAGGGCGGGGTTCAAGAGCAATGGAGCTTGCAAGTTTATTGGCAAGAAGAATTTCAATACGTGGGGAACCATTCGTTCGATCTTCAGCTGTTGAATGGAAATTCATGGCAACCAATTTAATGTGTTGATGGTGGGCCAACCTTGATCTCTTAGGCGTTTTCTCTGCGAGTGTGACGTCCACCAAAGAAGTCAGCCGGCGTGGCATTAGCGCCAAGTTCTCAGAAATGGACAGAGTAGACTTTCTTGCAGCGTTTGCGTATGAGTGCAGGATCTTGGAAATCAAATTCGTCACTCCACCATGTACCAGAGTGCTTGTCGCGAAAACAAAGTTGAGCCAGGAAGGAATCTCAGTGTTGCAGCCGCAGAATATTTCTGTGGGCTCCCGTCCGGCTGGACCTGTCCACGACCTGGGGCAGTTGTTCTGAAAGATGCGCAAGCGCAGTTCCCGGTTGACGAGGCCTGTACCGGCATTCAGATGGCAATACAGTAAGCCTAATGACAAAAGCAGCGAACGCAAATCATCGTGCTCATCCGGGTCCACTTCTTAGATTCCTGCGTCAGGCAAAGCCCAGATTGAAGTGTGTGAGCCTCTTCGCAGGGGTCGCCGGATTGGAACTTGGAGTGAGAAGGTGTCGCTGGCAAGTTTAGAGTATTTTTTCAATTCTCGAACTGTTCTGAAGTTCTGAATGATTTGCTCAGCCCTGCGTGTTTCAAAAGCGTTGTTGCTCAATGGTCAACCACACTTCTCAGTGCTATCGGTTGCGTGCTTCGCAATGGAGCACCACAACCTCCAGACTGTGCGAGCAGTTGGGGTTAACCAAGTCAAGTGCTTTGGATGAATTGGACTTTGTGACACCTACCCTGTCTACACGTGTTGTCGCTCGGTCTAAGTTGCCTCGAGTATTTTGGCCCAAGGGTGAGTCCTGGATAGGTGGTGCTGGCAGGGCAACCAGTGGGCGCCGTGCAACCCGGAAAAGCAAGCGAACACCGTTTTCAGGACCAAGTCTCATTCTAGCGAGGAAGCGCATGATCCTTGGCAAAGCCTTGATAGCGTGCCTGTTTCGCGTTGAACAACCTGTGCATAATGGGTTCACTCCTAGTTTTTTGGAACGCGCTCGAAGCGATTGATGGTTTTCTTTGTCGCCCGCTGTTGATCGTTTTCCCAATAGCGTCAATTGGCAGATTCTGAGTGAACTAAAGAGCTTTGCAGATGGCGTTGTGAGTGTTTAGCGTCTAGTTCTTGTCGGTTCTTTGTTTTGACCCTGTTCACTCATGGGTCCCATGGTAATGGAGTGCTGTCGCATTGGTTGTTTTGTCATATAGAGACATTCAATCTATCTAAGGAGAGAAGGGCCCACACGGCGAGTCTGCGCGCTGGTGCCCCCGAGCCTCCCGCGAAGCGGCCAAAGCGTTGAAAAAACATTTCATTTCCATGTTTGCAAACCTTTGTGTCAGTCAAAACGTTCAAATGGCTGCTGAGAATTCTTTTCCTCCGGGTGACATTCAGAACGCGGGATTTTTCCGGACAAGTTTTTGAGCTTTGCCAGCGCAAGTTACTAGACTGACAAATACTTCATTGAAGTTGATCTGCTTTTGAATGCGCTTGAATATGTTTGAACGCTGTTTTGAAAGAGGTTCAGGTCGTAGAGAAAATGCACCCTTGGAGGACCGTGGTCTCTCAGTACGAAACCTAGCTCTCCGCGGAGCAAGAGGAGAAGCGAGCGGCTGCTATCCAGAAGGTGGCCCAAGCGACCTTCGAGCAAGTTTCTGCG